CCTACTGTAGCTCTCTACTAGTTTTTCTGTATCTATCTTCTCAGATATTTCATGAGGCAGATTCTCCTAATCCAGTTAGCTGCCAAGCCAGATTAGTGTTACTGATTCTCCCTGTAGAATAGATTTATGCGTATCTGACTCAATTTGCATCTTTTGTCAATAGTTTCTTTTTTGAATCAAGCATTAGCTGGTGTGACTGTCGAAGGCTATACTACTTCATTAACTCAGGATTTCTACTATGCAGATCCCTTGCTCATAGATTCTATTAAGATTTATTTGTGTAATATTATATCTTATCAAATGCCTTGTCATACTTCCAATATCTGAATGATATTAGTGCAACATGATTTACAGGGTTACAACTTCAGAAACGAACAGAGTTTACCATAAGTTGGGTACAAAGATCTGAGTAATTATTCAAATTTGTTAACAGTAGGATTTGAACTCCAGACCTCTTGCATGGTGGTCTGGCAACCTAACCACTACACTAAGATCACCAAACCCATTAGACCTTTTTACTAATATTTTAATATATTATAATTTATATAATTTTTTATATCTATATTTTAGCTTATAAGAAATTAGCTATATATTAAAAATATATATTCAAAGCATTTTCTAAAAATTTATATTTTCTTGTAACTATCTTAGTTTGTCTTATAAAGAAATTAACTATATATTAGAATAAATATCTAAGTATACTTTGCTAAAAGTAATATAATTTTTTATAACTATCTTAATTTATCTTATAAAAAAACTATTATAATTTAAAATAATTATTTAAAGTATATTTTACTAAAATTTTATATATCTAAATTTAATCTCTAATATAGAAAAAATATTTATGTTTTTAAAAAAAATAAGTCTTTTTTTAGAAAGATTTTAAATTTTTTACTAAAAAGTATTAAATATTATAAGACTATAGTCTTTTTAGTATAGTACTATAATGATGATATAGTTTCAGAAATTTGTTATAAAACAATATCTAAAAAGTAGATATAATTTTTTTAATCACTAAAAATTATACTTTTCTTTAAAAAGATAGTTTATTTAAAGCAACAAAAAATAAGTTTATTAAATATAAATAGTTTTGTTTTTATTATAAGAAAAACAGAACAATTAATTATTATAAGAGTTATTAGATATTAATTAAACTTATTTTCTAAAATAAAAGAAAACTACAAATATTTATATATTTTGCTACACATTATATAATATTTAAGTATTTATATAGGTAATAGATAAGTAATATATATTTATTAATAGTCTAGTATAGTAAAAGATATAATACTTATATAGTTAAGTATAGTATAATATTTTAGCATAGTTTAGTATAATATTAGTATAGTATTTAGTGCAATTTTAGAATAGTATTTGGTATAATATCTAGTATAGTTTGATACAATATTTGCTATAATCTAATAAAATATTTTTAGGTTATAACTTGTAGTTTTTCTATATACTTTATCAAATTTGATAACAGAATTTAGAATTTTTATAAAAAAAATTTATTAAGTTTAATGCAGTAATTATTAAGATATCTTCAATCAAAGTCTAATTAAAATTTTAATACAATTACTATATTATGTTTTAAAAAATTTAAAACTTTGATCAAAGATATATTGATAACTACTATATCAAATTTGATAAAAAAATTTTATTTAATCTTATAGGTCTACCAAATTAAAATAAAAAAATTATCATCAAATTTAGTACAATAGTTATCATATCTTTAATTAATATTAGTAAAATTTGTAAACAAATATGTAATTTTCTATAGTATGAATAGTAGTTTTCTTTTTAAAATATATTAATTATAAAAAATTTATACTTTGTATATATCATAAAGTTGATCTAAATTTTTCTAGATAGTGCAAAATAATTTATTCTAATTAGTTAATTTCTGCAATTTTAATAAGATAAAGTTTATAGTAAAAATCAAAATAAATCTTTAAATTCTTATATCTCAATGAGATTTAATTCAATTTTAATAGATTTACTACTATTAAAATTACAAAACCTACTCTACAACATTACTTAAAAGGCTAAAAAAGTTTTAAGTAGTAAATTTTTCGTAATTTAAATTACCAAAAAAATATACAATATAAATTATATAAAAATTAATATACATATCCATCTTTATACTCACAAATGAAATTAATGCTAATGAAATATTTTTAATTCTACTAGTTAACGTTAATAAGTTATCTTCATACTCACTGAATAAAGATAAATATTTATAAATAAGCATTTATATTCATGATTTAATTCCACTAATCAATGTTAATAACAAATTATCTTCATACTAGTGATCCTGGCCGATCAAAATTTTTCGACCGGCTAAGCCGATAAAATTTTATCGGCTTAGCCGGCTTAGTCGATTTTTTATTAAAATTTCGGAATCCTTTGGAAGATTAAGTTTGTTCATTTTCTACATTGGAATGTCATAATAAAATCGATCAGCCGATTTTTTCATTATCAGCCAGGATCACTACTTTATACTCACGAGCTAAATGAAATTATTTGAAAGGTATTAGATAATTAATTGTAAATAATATTTAGAGATGAGTAAAGTTAATTAACACGCATATGATATTGTCACCTATAAGAAATAATAATAATGATAAATTTTTAAAAGTTCGTTAAAGTTATGGTTAAGGTCAAGGTCAGGTGTTAGCAGGACTATTAGTCAAATCTCAAAGGAAAACTTTTTGTTAGAGCACAAGAAACGGTAATAAATTAAAAATGTAAAATGCACAGGATATTAAACCATTTATAAAGTTTATATGCAGTATATAAAATTCTTTAAAAAAGTTAGCCCGGCTTGTCTGTTTTAAAATTTTATAGTTAATCTTTAAGTTCAATTTATTGCACATGGATCACCGAAAGGAGGATCGGATACCAAATAACATTAATTAAATTTTATATATTTTTTTAAAAAGTATTTATTTATCTGAATTTTGCTTTATAGTTAGTGATCTTATAAATTTTCACATTTTATTCAGTTTAATAATTAAATATAATAGGGATATAGATGTAAAAGGGCGTTTAAAAATGGCCAAAATAGTATTATAAATAAAAACCGAAATGACATAGAGGAAAAAAAACTCCTATTCTTTGCTTAAATAAAATAATAAGATATTCACTTTATTAAAATATAATATTAACTCTTACTGCATAAGTCCCAATTAAACCTACTTACTATTGTCTTGTCTACGTGATTCATACACTTAATTTGTTCTGAATTACTAAGTCTAGCCGTGTTATTCGTATTCCAACTATTCAAGTGATAAGGATAGTTGTGGTTAAGTTATTAAGTTCAATTGCCAAAGTACAGTGGCAATTTAAGATACCCGAAATAGTGTGTTATCCAAGTTAACCGGTCCCTGAACCAGATAAACTCCAACATAAAGAATTGAGAAAGATAATAGTAATAGTGGAACCAAGATACACCAAAACCATAATATATATAAATAAAAATACTTACAAAACCCAATCAACTCGCTCAAATTTAACACGCCTTTTTCGACTAAAGACGACCGTAGGTTACGCGAATAATTGAATAGTTGAGTGACTGGCTCGCCTTTTTAGACCCAGTTTCAATAGTGTGTTACAAAAAACTTTGCCGAAAATGCGAGAGAACAGATAACGACTAAAACTCAAGAAAAAAGCAACAAATTTTCGACGAAAGAACCACCGAACCCAAAGAAGCATGTGCTGAAACCCGACGAAATAACGAACCGAAATTCGACAAATAAAGTACAAATTAGAACCAATTCTACGGAGGAGCCTATTGAAAACGCGAAAGAACCACCGAAACCGACCAGACGAAAACGTCGAAACATTCGATGAGAGAGCTACAGAAACCCGACAAAAGAAAAAAAAACGTTAGATAAAAAAAAAAAAAATAAAAAAAAAAACGAAAAATAAAAATCTAACCAGACCAGTAACTCATGCAGGACCATCGTAGTAATTCTTTTTTATGATTTTTGGTGTTAAAAAAAAATAGTTGTGAGGCCGTTGCTGGGAATCGAACCCAGTGTATAAACATCTCCAACAAGACAACGACTTTATACTTAATACTCTAGAGTAAAACTCCGTCATCATATTAAGCCCTTAAAAAACCGTTTCTTTTTTTTTTCAAAAAAAAAAAATTAATCGTCGAATAAACGTATTATAGGAATAAATTTTGTTGATTACGGATTATAATCACAATAATTTATTTCCTATATACACTTAACCTAAATTATCTTTCTTTTAATAAAAAAAAAAAAAACGTAAAAAAAGGGAAGATATTACCGGTCAGCATAAACAAAATATATAAACAGTTAATGTTCGTAGGGTAGAGAACATTCTTTAACCGAACAATAAATCGCCATAGACATTATTTTGACGTATCAAAATAACCAGACGAAACTTAGTTGTTCGCCCTAAAAAAAAATTATTTGGGTAGAGCACATTTTTTAACTGAACAATAAATCGCCATAGACATTATTTTGTAAACAAAATAACCAGACGAAACTTAATTGTTCACCCAAATAAAATTTTATCGAACATTAAACAAAGGTTATAATTAAGTAAAGCTTAACGGCGTATATCCTAGAGTTCAAAAAAAAAAAGAAATAGATGAGTTTATATATTCGCGTAAAAAACATTACGTAATCATGCATGAGATCATAAAAACAAACAATACATGTGATTTAACCTTATTAAACGACCCTAGCGTCACCCAGAAAAAATGGTAGCCGGATAGATCTGCCGGTTAAATGTGATTAGTAATTTCGGATTTGATCATGAGTAAATTTTTGAATATAAATTAAAAAAATATCGCGTAGTGGATCACTTTTTTTATTACTATTATAAATAAAACTTTTTTCTACTATCGTTATTAATATAACAAATGTCAATTTTAAAATTTATTTCATTTATATTTTTTTTTACTTGATAAACGATTTAAAATAAAATAAAAAATTATTTTATAAATACAAAAAAATCTTATCATGTCAAATCAACAAACTAAAACTTGTGTAGGATGTCATTCTATTCGAAACAGTGAAGATTTCTTGAATGAAAAGGGAATTTTATTAAAAAAATGTTCACAATGTCGAAACAGAATAAAATTGTCACGTTCAAAAAATAATCAAGACTAACCCGATATAATAATTAACTATCAAGAAATTACTGAAACTGTGTATAATTCTCTAGTTTCATTAAATAATACAAATGAATTTTATGAAAGCGAAAATAAAGGATTGAATATAACTTTTCATGTTGAATTATCATCATTATATAATACTATTCTGGAGAATAATGAATCACAAAAAGAAAATATAGAATTTGAAATTGGCCATCATATTGCTTCTCTTGTCTCTGATGGAGATGGTTATTCATGGATTTATCATGACAAAAACTAAAAAAAAAATTCTTTTCTTTTAATTTATTTTTGTAATTGTCGGATTGAACTTGGAAAACGACAAGCAAAACATCCGGAATCAAATAAACAGCGAGATACTCTTCCTTTTCTAGAAAGATATGACTGCAAGGGAATAATAAATATAGAAATTTTATCAAATTTAGATATAGTTAAAGTCAAGTACTCTCATGAGATATTACATCCAAGACCAAGACATGTCTCAACAACATCTAAAATAAAAAAATTTATTCAAGATAAAGTTGATTTTAATGTTCCTGAAATTTGGCGCCAAATTCAAGTTAATCATATTAATGGATATAAAAATTTTAGCATTCAGCAAGCTTATTACTGGTGGTCTATAGAATCTCACAAAATATATTTTCGAGATTCTAATCCTTTATTATCTGCTAAACGTTTATTAGAAGAATATAATCAGGAAATTATCGTAGACAATCTTGATTCCTCGACACCTACTCTAGGATTTTTAACTTTATTGTTTGGTCGACTATTTAATAATAAATTCGATGCAATTGCTATTGATGCAACTTATGGTACTAATAATTTGGGATGTGAATTATATTCACTTTTGGGTATAATCGATGGTGCCGGGTTTCCACTTAGTTACCTTTTTGTTTCAGCAGGAAAAAATCATAATATGACTTATATTCTTTTTCAATGGATGCAAGCTATAAAAGAAAAAGGTTTACAATCTTTTTCTTTTATACTTACTGACAAGGATTATAGTGAAATTAATGCAGCACAAGCTGTTTGGCCTGAAGCTCATTTACAGCTATGTGTTTGGCATGTTCAGCGAGCAATAAAACAACAATTGGCATCTACAAAAACAAGTACATATTATAGTTATAATCTAAGACATGCACATCAAGAATGTTCTATAATAGATCCAAATTGGGGACTTATAAATAAATCAAATTCACGAGTACTATGTCCTTTAAATTTATGAAAACTAGTAATCAAACTTGTTGAAGATCATTCAAAACGCCATATGTTATTACCAAAACTTGATGGAACTTTTATTACAAATGCAGACGAAATCTGGAAGGAATGTGTTAGTGAGATAATGCAATTTTGCAAAGATAATAATTTGTATCCAGTTAAAGTTTTAAAAAAATTTTAATCAAAAAAAAAAACTCTTCCCGTAGATCATTTTGACCAAATTCGGAGCTAAGAGAAAACCAAGTTAACTCGAAAACTCATTAAGAAACAGTACTTAGAATACTAAGCAAAAAGAAAGAAGACTAAAAAGTACATATATTGTATTAGAAGAACAAAAAGAAAAACAACCTGATAGTCCTCACTAGAACTAAAAACAGAAAACTTCGACGGAAAAATTTTTT